CCCACTGAGCGATGTCGCCAAGAGCGCTGCCGAAGGCAAGGTCGATGCGGCCACCGACGCGGCGCGCACCTTCGCCGAGATCGCGCTGGCGCGCTATGCCTGGGTGTCGACGCGGCGCTGGCTGATCGGTTCGATCACCGGGCTGATCGCCTCGATCGCGGCGCTTGCCGGCTCGGCCTTGTTGTTCGAGCAGAACCGGCTCTTGCGCGCGCAGTCGACGCTTCTGGCCGAGCAGAACACCCGTATCGACGACCAGACCGAATTGTTGCGCGCGCAGGCGCGCCTGTCCGACACGCAAACCCAGCTCGCAGAGGCCGAGCGCAGCGCCCAGGTCGGCCCCGAAGTGATCGAGATCGGCGCGCTGATCGGCGGCGAGCGGCAGGCCTATCTGGAGGCCGGCAACGACATTGACGATTTCGGCCTGACCGATCTTTCCACGTCCGTGCGCAGCCGCATCGTCGCCGCGACGCTCGTCGCCCGGCCCTATCTTTACCTGCGGCCGCGCCAGGCCAATCCGCTCGACGACAATTCGCTCACCATGAAGGCGCTCAGCCGCCGCCAGGACGCGCTGATCGCGCCGGACATGCTGGCCGACTTCGATGCGGACAATGAGACCACCGAACTGATCGATTCCCCCCTCAGCCCCGAGCGCGGCGATCTCCTCTCGATGCTGGTCGACAATTCGATCCTCGACACCGAACTGCTCAGCTTCGTCGGCGCCGATTTCAGTTTTGCCGAAGTGAGACGCGAAGTGCTGCCCGGCGTGTCGATGCGCCATGCTCGGCTTTCATTTGCCGACTTCACCCTGGTGCGCCTTGTCGGCTGCCGGTTCGGAGCCGCAAAGCTCGAACATGCGGTGTTCGAAAAGGCGGTGGTGCGCGGCTCGGACTTCTCCAGCATCGCCGCCTCCGACGTGGAGCTTCCCTTCTCGGGCGAGGGCGTCGATCTGGTGCCGACCTTCCTGACCGGCGCCATGTTCACCGATGCGGTGATCATCGATACGGCATTCCGGCGCATTCAGGCAATCGCGCCGTCCTTTTCCGGTTCCGTCGTGGCGGCGGTCGATTTCACCGGCGCCGGCCTGAACGCGGCCGAGTTCCGCGATGCCATCATCATGGACAGCGTCTTCGACGGTGCCGAACTGCGCTCGGTCGATCTGGAAGGCGCGATCGTTTTCGACCTGGGCTTCGTGCAGGCGCTGGCGCAGGCCGCCGCGCCGGGCACCTTCGTTGCCGAGCGCTGGTCGCTTGAGCCTTTGTCTGCCGCAGAACTGGCGGAACATCCGCGCTACGACGCGATGACCGTCTATCTGCCGGAAGTGGCCCATGCCGGGCGGCAGGCGTTCCGCATTGTCCGAAACCAGGGGCAATAAGACCGGCCCGCGCGCCGATTGCCCTTGATGGCCGTTTCGCCTAAGGAACCGCAAATTCCACCCATCATCAGACGGGAGCGCGCGCGTGGCACGCCAGTTCATCTATCACATGTCCGGCCTCAACAAGGCCTATGGCTCCAAGAAGGTTCTCGAGAACATCCACCTGTCCTTCTACCCGGACGCCAAGATCGGCATTCTGGGTCCGAACGGCGCCGGTAAATCCACGGTTCTGCGCATCATGGCGGGGCTCGACACCGAGTTCACCGGCGAAGCCTGGCTGGCCGAGGGCGCAACGCGCGGCTACCTGCCGCAGGAGCCGCAGCTCGACGAAACCAAGACCGTGATGGAGAACGTCATGGAGGGCGTCGCCGACAAGAAGGCGATCCTCGACCGCTACAACGAACTGATGATGAACTATTCCGACGAGACCGCCGAGGAAGGCGCCAAACTCCAGGACGTCATCGACAGCCAGAACCTTTGGGATCTCGACAGCCAGGTCGAAATGGCGATGGACGCGCTGCGCTGCCCGCCCGGCGACAGCGAGGTGGTCCATTTGTCCGGCGGCGAAAAGCGCCGCGTCGCGCTGTGCCAATTGCTGCTGCGCCAGCCCGATCTGCTGCTGCTGGACGAGCCGACCAACCATCTGGATGCCGAGACCATCGCCTGGCTCGAAAAGCATCTGCGCGAATATCCCGGCTCGGTCCTGATGATCACCCACGACCGCTACTTCCTCGACAATGTGACCGGCTGGATCCTCGAACTCGATCGCGGCCGCGGCATTCCCTATGAGGGCAACTACACCGCCTATCTGGAGGCCAAGGCCAAGCGCATGGCGCAGGAGGGCCGCGAGGAGGCCTCGCGCCAGAAGGCGCTGGCCCGCGAGGCCGAGTGGATTTCCGCCTCGCCCAAGGCCCGGCAGGCCAAGTCCAAGGCCCGCATCAAGGCCTATGACGAACTGGTCAAATCGGCCAATGACCGCCGTCCCGGAGACGCGCAGATCATCATTCCGGCCGGCGAACGCCTCGGCAATGAGGTGATCGAGGCCGAGGGTCTGACCAAGGGCTATGACGACCGCCTGCTGATCGACGATCTGGACTTCAAACTGCCGCCGGGCGGCATTGTCGGCGTGATCGGCCCGAACGGCGCGGGCAAATCGACCCTGTTCCGCATGATCACCGGACAGGAGCAGCCCGACGGCGGCCGGATCACCGTCGGTGACACGGTGAACCTGTCCTATGTCGACCAGAGCCGCGATGCGCTCGATCCCGACAAGACCGTCTGGGAGGAGATTTCCGGCGGCAACGACATCATCAAGCTTGGCCCGCACGAGATGAATTCACGCGCCTATTGCGGCGCCTTCAACTTCAAGGGCGGCGACCAGCAGCAAAAGGTCGGCACGCTGTCGGGCGGCCAACGCAACCGTGTCCATCTGGCCAAGATGCTGAAAGAGGGCGGCAACGTGCTGTTGCTCGACGAGCCGACCAACGACCTCGATACCGAAACGCTGGCAGCGCTCGAAGAGGCGCTGGAAAACTTTGCCGGCTGCGCCGTCGTCATCAGCCACGACCGCATGTTCCTCGACCGCCTCGCCACGCACATATTGTCGTTCGAAGGCGACAGCCATGTCGAATGGTTCGAGGGCAATTTCGAGGATTATGAGCAGGACAAGATCAGGCGCCTCGGCCCGGAAAGCGTCAATCCGAAGCGGGTGACGTATAAGCGGCTGACGAGGTAAAGGCGATTGGGCCGTGTTTGAGCGATTGAAAGATGCCGGCTTCGACGTGCTGACGCTTCACCACGCTGAGGCCATCATGATGGGAGATTTCCCCGAGGCTGTTGACGAGTTGGAAGAGGCATTGCTGGCGCTGTCGCTTCCGGTTCTTGAGATAGTTGGCAGCGGCGGTGGTGAAACAAAACTGACTCAACGTCTTCGACGCGACTTGGCTGGCAAAGGGTGGCTAAAGCGCAACATTGAGATCAAGAAGATCGTCCGCTGGGACGAGGGCGACGAAGGCCGAGAGGTCGCCTCGCTTTCTCATGAGATTGATCATGTGAAGTCGTTCGGCTCAGACGGTCGCACGTTCGCTCTAGAGATAGAATGGAACAACAAGGACCCCTTCTTCGACCGCGATCTGGAAAACTTCAAGCGGCTGCATGCTGAAGGCGCGATTTCAATAGCGGGCCTGATAACGCGGGGGGCGTCGCTCCATGCAAATATGCGGGGTATCATTGGCCGTTTCGCTGACGAAAACCAAATCACAGATTTTGCCACTTTGGATGCATTCGGCTATTCGCCAACGCGGCGACAGCGCGAGAACATAACGGCCCGCGCCGAGAGGTCCGGCAGCTTTCGCAATGCCTGGGTGGATTGGTTCGTCGCCGACAAATTTGGCGAGGCGACGACCCATTGGCGAAAACTGCAGGACCGTGTGCTGCGCGGTGTCGGCAACCCATGTCCTCTGGTTCTTATCGGTATCCCGGACTCGGTGGTCAGTTTTGACTATTCGGCCGCCTCGACCGACGAGTTGTAGGCATAGGTTTTCCAGGTCGGCTTGTAATCGTCGTCGGCCTGATCACCCCAGTAAGTCCATCCAGGACGCGTTCCGCGTGCAAACAGTTCCAGATAGGGGCCGGGTGAGCAGTCCTCGATCACGTCATATTGCTCGTCCGGCTTGCGGGAATGCTCCCGCTTGCGGGTTTGGATCATGTTGACCTGACTGCGGGCAGGCGGCAGCGTGCGAGCATTCTTTCCGCGAACACCGAACAGAATGATCTCGGTCACGTTGCGAAAATAGAAGCCGACTCCACGACCGTCGGAGCCCCCATCCTTGCGCACCTTATGCCAGACGATGTTGGACTTGTACTGGAAACCCCAAGCTTGCATGACCTGCAGTCCTTCGGGCAGCAATGCGTTTGGCACCCAGAGATAAAGGTGGGCCGTGTGCTCGGCCACATCTGAAACCGGCAGAGCACAGATGTCATCAAGCGTCATGGTCCCGTAGCGCGAAAGGCGCCTGTGTTCGGGAGCCACCTTCCCGGTCCTGTTCTGAAAGCGCCAAGGCGGATCCGCGAGAATTGTACTGAACGTGTCGCCACCCGTACGCATCAAAAGGTCCTGCCCGGCGCTTCTCGTTTCGACATTCATTGCTGAACTCCCCAAAAGAACAAAAGCAGAACCAAGCGTGCAAGTCAAGCTAGGCCGATTCGGTTGCGCGAGTCTGTAAGCGGCGGCCATTGTGCCCAGCTTAGCGCAGACGACTGCAATGTCAGTTGGAGAACGGAGACAAAAAAGCCGGACCGCTGGGAGGAGGTAGCGGTCCGGCTCAATGAGAGTTGCAGAAGCGGGAGGAGGTGCTCCTGCAAAACACATTCAGGTAACGGTCGGGAGGAGGTGACCGCGTTCCTGATGAGAGGAATATGGCCCCCGCCCCCGATGCATTCAATTGCATTTTGTGCATTGCACATATGCAAAACTGCATGGCTGATGCGGCAATCGGTAGCAAACAGGCGCCTCAAGCCGCCTTTTTCACCAATAGCGCGAGGAATGCGCCCCAAAAACGGGCAGCCGGCCAATTTGGGCTCTCGGTCTATGTGCAGTGCACCCGCCACCGGTACGATCGTGGAGCGCCTAAAACTCCCAGCCGCGCGCCTTGGCGAACAGGAAATCGCGAAACGCCTGCAGCTTGGCCGATGAGCGCATCGATTCGGCATAGGCGAAATAGGTGTCGAACGAGGGCAGGGCGACGCCTTCGACCACACGCACCAGTCCCGTGTCACGCTCGACCGCATAGTCGGGCAGCATGGCGATGCCGACCCCGCGCTGCACCGCCCGCTTGATCGACATGATCGAGTTGATCTCCAGCACGGCCGGGCGCGGCTCGCCATCCTCGCGGCCCAGCGTCAGCAGCGAATTGAGCTCCTGCAGATAGTCCGGCGCCGGCTCGCCAAAGGTGATGATCCGGTGATCGTCGAGATCGTCAACGGTGGCCGGCGTGCCGAACCGGGCGAGATAGCCGGGCGAGGCATAGATGTGGAAATGGACGATGAACAGCCGGCGCTGGATCAGGTCCGGCTGTTGCGGCTGGCGAAGGCGGATGGCGCAGTCGGCCTGGCGCAGATTGAGATCCAGTTCCTCGTTCGACAGGACCAGCTGAACCTTGATGTCGGGATAAAGCTCGAGGAATTCCTGCACCCGGTAGGTCAGCCAGCCCGAGCCCAGTCCGACGGTGGTTGTTATGCGCAAGGTGCCCGACGGTTTGTCGGTCGTGTCGACGAGCCGCGCCTTGACGTTTTCGAGCTGCAGATAGACGTCGTGCGCGGTGCGGAACAGAAGTTCGCCCTGCTCGGTCAGCACCAGGCCGCGCGCATGCCGGTTGAAGAGCGGTGCGCCGATATCGCTTTCAAGGGCCGAGACCTGCCGGCTGACAGCCGATTGCGAAATGTGCAGCTTTTCGCCGGCCTGCGTGAAAGAGCCGGCCTGCGCCGCGGCGTGAAAGACCCGCAATTTGTCCCAGTCGAGCGGCATTGCCGGACCTTCTTGCGAACTTGCCGGCGCACCGGCCCGGCTATCCTACCACAAGGGCCTATTCGGCCGCTTCCATCTGCGCTTCCTGCGCGGCGAGATATTTTTCGGCCTCCAGAGCCGCCATGCAGCCGAGCCCTGCGGCTGTCACGGCCTGGCGATAGATGTCGTCGGTGACGTCGCCCGCCGCATAAACGCCCGGCATCGATGTGGCCGTCGAATCGGGCGCCGTCCAAAGATAGCCGTTCGGCTTCTGCTTGAGCCTGCCCTCGAACAGTTCCACCGCCGGCGCGTGGCCGATCGCGATGAAGACGCCGTCTGCGGCATGTTCGGTAATCGCGCCGGTGTGCACGTTCTTGAGCCTTACGCCGGTGACCGCCGCCGGCAGCGCCGGGTTGGACTTTGCGCCGGTGATCTCCTCGAGTGTGCTGTCCCAGACGACTTCGATATTGTCTTTCCTGAACAGCCGGTCCTGCATGATCTTTTCGGCGCGCAACTCGTCGCGCCGGTGCACCAGCGTCACGGACTTGGCGAGGTTCGACAGATACAGCGCTTCCTCGACGGCGGTGTTGCCGCCGCCGACCACCACCACATCCTTGCCGCGGAAAAAGAAGCCGTCGCAGGTCGCGCAGGCCGAAACGCCATAGCCCATATAGGTCTGCTCGCTCTCGATGCCGAGCCATTTGGCCTGGGCGCCGGTCGCGATGATCAGCGCATCGCCGGTATAGACGGTGCCGCTGTCGCCGACGGCGCGGAACGGGCGCGCGTCGAGATCGACCTCGGTGATCACGTCATGGCGGATGTCGGCGCCCACATGCTCGGCCTGAAGGCGCATCTGCTCCATCATCCACGGGCCTTCGACGGCCTCGGCATAGCCCGGATAGTTTTCCACCTCGCTGGTGATCATCAGCTGGCCGCCCTGCTGCAGGCCTGCAACCATGACCGGCTTGAGCATGGCGCGCGCCGCATAGATGGCCGCAGTGTAGCCGGCCGGTCCCGAACCGATGATCAGGACGGGTGAATGGATGGTCTCGGTCATGGCAGTCTCGATCTTTCCTGTCGGTTCGGCATCAGGCCCCGGCGTCGTGTCCCCTGTGGCGGCCCCAACGCGGTCGGTTGAACAATGCAGCGCACCGACCTAGTGTCTCGTCCATAGCTAGGATCGGACGGTCCCGCTGTTCAAGACCCGCTGATCGGCCGCCGACCCGCGCGACGGTTCGGCGACCATTCTTAGCGCAGTTGGCACATCGAACGAACGACAAAAATGCCGATCTCAAAAATTCCCGATTCGGTGACCTGCGTTTTGACGAGTTGCGGGCGCTTCGACCTTCTGAGCGTGACGCTCGACAGTTTCCTTGCCTACCATCGGCCCGCGCGCTTCATCATCGCCGAGGATTCGGCTGACGCCGCGTTCGCCGACCGCGTCCGCGAGCGCTATCCGCAGGTTGAGGTCCGGCTCAATGAACCCCGGCTCGGTCAGCACCGGTCGATCGACAGCGCCTATGGCGATGTGGCAACGCCCTTCATCTTCCACATGGAAGACGATTTCCGCTTCGACGGGCCGGTCGATGCCGCCGATGCGGTCGCGTTGGCCGCTTCCGATCCGAAGATCTCCAGCGTCTGCTTTCGCCGCTTCGACACGCTCAAGCTGCGTCACCGCATGTTCGCCAAACGCTTCACGCACGGCCCACACACCTATGCCCGCATGGAGCGCGCCCACCGCGACTGGTACGGCTTTTCGTTCAATCCGGGCATTGTGCGCCGTGAGTTCTGGATCGAGGCCGGGCCCTATGCGGATCATCGCAACGAGCGGACGATTTCGCGCGCAATGAAGGACCGTGGCTTTGGCGTCGTCTTTCAGTTGCCCGGCGTCGCCATCCATATCGGGTCGGGACGCAGCGTCATGGATCCGGCCCGCGCGGGCGAAAACCGCCGCATCGGCCGCCGCTGGTTCCGTCGCCCGCCCACCGCATGAGCGTCGAAACAGGCCTCAGCCGTCACCGAACCACTGCCTCCAGCCTGGCGTCCGGGCGGTGAGCACATCCTCGATCGTCTGGCCGGCAAACTCTTTGCGCATCCGGCGCGCGCGGTCGCGCAGCAGACGGCGCTTGTCGTCGAACGGCGCCAGCAGGCTGTCGACAAAGGCGGGACGCGTGTTTGCTGCCGCAGTGGCAAGATCGACCGCGTCCGATGCCTGGCGCTTCTTCTGCTTGCGCGCGAACCGGCTCTGCGGATTGTCGCCGAGTTCGTAATTGGCAAAGCCGCCGCCGCGCTTGAGGTATTTCAGGTGCCAGTAGGTGAAACCGCGGAACCGGCGTCGCTGGGAACCGTGGCGGAAGGTCTCGAACCGCTCGTCCTTGACGAAGAAATTTTCCGGCGTCAGCCGGACGAACCAGTGATCGCCATTGCCGCACATGGTCTCCTCGGCGGGCAGGGCGAGCCCGCCGTCGGCATTGCGCGCCAGATTGAGCCCCGAGTAGCAGAAGGTTTCGCGGCTGAGCGACGGCGCGGAACGGGCTTCTTTCGCAAGCGCGCCCATCTGGTCGCGCATCGCGACATGGTCGTCGTCGAGCTTGGTGACGATCTGCCGCGTGGTGCGCGCCAGCGCGAAATTGGAATAGTTCACCACACTGGCCGGCGAATCCGGTGGCGTCTGCACATGTCCATCGGTCCCGGGCGGAAAGACGCGGTCGGCATAATGGAAGACACGCAGTTTCGGCCCGTGGCGCTGCGCGAGCCGGGCCAATATCTGCGGCGTTGCATCGCTGCACTGATTGTAGACCGCGACGATCTCGTCGAAATGGCCGATATGGCTTTCGATCGCAGCTTCCGTGAAGTCCTCGCCATTGCGGATGCGCATGAAGGCGCTGATGCCGGGCTCTCTTTGTCCGATCTTCAGATCGGCCGGGCCGAAGACGTAGCCGGAGACGGTCTCTGTCATGGCTGGCCGGCCTCGCGAACGAACCTGGTCAGACGAACTTGACCGCGTCGATCTCGTAGCCGCGCGCGCCGCCGGGCGCCTGCACCTCAACGGAATCGCCCACCGTCTTGCCGATCAGCGCGCGGGCGATCGGCGAGGAGATCGAGATCTTGCCCGCTTTGACGTCCGCCTCCTGGTCGCCGACGATCTGGTAGATCTTCTCTTCCTCGGTGTCTTCGTCGATCAGCGTGACCGTGGCGCCGAAACGCACCGTGTCGCCGGTCATTGCGCTGACATCGATCACCTCGGCACGCGAGATTAGGCCCTCGAGTTCGGAGACCCGGCCTTCATTATGGCCCTGGGCCTCCTTGGCGGCGTGATACTCGGCGTTCTCCGACAAGTCGCCGTGGGCACGGGCTTCGGCAATCGCCTCGATGATGCGCGGACGTTCCTCTTGGGTGCGCCAGCGGAATTCCTCCTGCAACTGCGCATAGCCCTCACGTGTCATCGGCACCTTGTTCATCGCGCGTTCCCCATGCTTGCAGCGCACCGCCAAAAGCGGAACGTTATCAAATAAAAGCGGCCCGCCAAGCACAAAGCTGGCGAACCGCCGAAATTCTCGGCGTCCTCAATAGGGCAAAAGATGCCCGATTGTAAGTGGCGTTGGATGCCGTTGCCGTTGCATGCTGGCCCGCACCCTGTGACGCAATTCCGGTTCGGCGCCATGACCACCCTTCGAATGGCAAGCTTCAATCTTTTCAATTACGCCGTTCCCGGCATCTTCTGGCATGAGCGCGAGGGCGGCCTGATCTATGAAGAGGACCAATGGGACAGCAAGCGGCGCTGGATCGCCGAGACACTCGCCGTCATCGACGCCGACATTGTCGCTTTCCAGGAGGTCGTTTCCGTCGAGGATTTGCGGTCGCTTGTGGTGCAGGCCGGCTACCCGCATTTCGCCAGTGTCACCGAGCCGCGCTTCCTGAAGAACGATGCGGATGTGTTCGTCAATTCGACGGTCGCGATCGCCTCGCGCCATCGGATTGCGTCGGCCCAGGAGATCAAGACGTTCGACCGGATCATCGACCAGACGCTCCTTGACCGGGCGGCGACCTATTCGCGGCGGCCGCTGCGTTGCGTGATCGATTGCCCGGACCTTGGCCCGACCGTCGTCTATTCCGCGCACTTCAAGTCGCAAGGCGCCCTGTTCAACGATGAGATCGTCGATGTGATCGAGGACTGGGACACCCGCATCGACACCTTCTTCGTCGAACGCATGTTTGCCGGCATCGATCAGGTGTCGAAACGGGCGGCCGAAGCGGGTGCCCTTTATCTGCAGGTGCGCGAGGATCTGAAGGCAGACACCGAAGCGCCGGTGGTGATTCTCGGCGATCTGAACGAAGGACCGCGATCGCACACGCTGTCGATCCTGACGCAGGCCGATCCGATCTTTGCGGTCGGCAGCACGTTGTGGACTGACGTGCCCGATGCGCACCGGTTTCGCCGGTACACGCATCGGCTTTATGACGCCTATGCCTTGCCGCCGCACGCCGAGCTTGAGCGGCCCGTCACCTACCATGCCAACAAGCGCGCCAGCATTCTCGACTACGCCATCGTCTCAAACGGGTTGAACCCCGCCAATCCGCGCCACCGCGGTGCGGTCGTGCGCCATGAGGTCTTCGATGCGCATTTCGATCTGGACCAGCCGCGCCGCCTGACGTCGGATCATGCGCCGGTCATCGTGACGATCGAACCACGGAAGGACGAGCCGGCTCAGCCGTGATAGGCCTGCAGCGGTTTAACGCCCAACTCGCCACGTGCGAGCGCCGCGATGGCTTCCCCCGCGGCGACCGCGCCGGCGATCGTGGTGAAATAGGGCAGCTTGTTCTCAAGCGCAGCCCGGCGCAGGGATTTTGAGTCCGACAGCGCCTTCTTGCCCTCGGTCGTGTTGATCACAAGCTGGACCTGCCGGTTGCGGATGGCGTCCTCGATATGCGGCCGGCCTTCGAGCACCTTGTTGATCTTGGTTGCTTTGACGCCGCTGTCGGCGAGAAAACGTTGCGTGCCGCCCGTCGCAAGCACCGAGAAGCCGAGTTTTTCGAACAGTTTCGCAGTGTCCAGAATGCGCGCCTTGTCGCCATCGCGCACCGAGATGAAGACCGCGCCTGTCTTCGGAAGCTCTGTTCCCACGCCCAGTTGCGCCTTGGCGAACGCCACGGCGAAATCGTCGTCGAGCCCCATCACTTCGCCGGTCGAGCGCATTTCCGGGCCGAGCAGCGTGTCGACGCCGGGGAATTTGGAGAAAGGGAACACCGCTTCCTTGACCGCGATGTGCGAGATCGCGCCGCTGTCGACCAGCGTGCCGTAGTGGCCGGAGGCATCGGCCAGGGTTTCGCCCGCCATGATCCGCGCGGCGATCTTGGCGATCGGCCGGCCGACCGCTTTTGCAACGAACGGCACGGTGCGCGAGGCGCGCGGATTGACTTCGAGAACATAGACCGTGCCGTCGAGGATCGCGAACTGCACATTCATCAGCCCGCCGACATTGAGCGCGCGTGCCAGCACCTCAGATTGCCGCTCCAGTTCGGCGACGGTTTCTGCAGACAGCGAGTGGACCGGCAGCGAGCAGGCGCTGTCGCCCGAATGGATGCCGGCCTCCTCGATATGCTCCATCACGCCTGCCACATGGACATTGTCGCCGTCGCACAGGCAATCCACATCGACCTCGATCGCGCCGGCCAGATAGGTGTCGAACAGCAGCGGATTGGTGCCCAGAAGCGTGTTGATCTGCCCCGTCTTGTCGTTCGGATAGCGCGCCTTGATGTCCTCGGGGATCAATTCGGGCACCGTGCCGAGCAGGTAGGAATCGAGCGCCTGATCGTCGCGGACGATCTGCATCGCCCGCCCGCCGAGCACATAGGATGGCCGCACCACCAGCGGGAATCCGAGCTTCGTCGCCACCAGCCGCGCCTGTTCGACCGAATAGGCGATGCCGTTCTCGGGCTGGGTCAGATCGTGCTTGATCAGGAGTTTCTGGAACCGGTCGCGGTCCTCGGCCAGATCGATCGCGTCCGGCGAGGTGCCGAGGATCGGAATGCCCTCGGCCTCGAGCGCGTTGGCGAGCTTCAGCGGCGTCTGGCCGCCGAACTGCACGATCACGCCGTGCAGCGTGCCGGCGCTTTTTTCGACCGACAGGATTTCGAGCACGTCCTCGACCGTCAGCGGCTCGAAATAGAGCCGGTCCGACGTGTCGTAGTCGGTCGACACCGTCTCGGGGTTGCAGTTGACCATGATCGCTTCATAGCCGGCCTCGGCCAGCGCGAAGGCGGCGTGACAGCAGCAATAGTCGAACTCGATACCCTGGCCGATCCGGTTCGGACCGCCGCCCAGGATCACCACCTTCTTGCGGTCGGACACACCGGCTTCGGAGCGCGGTGCGCCGGCAAACGGCGTCTCATAGGTCGAGTACATGTAGGCGGTCGGCGAGGCGAACTCCGCCGCGCAGGTGTCGATGCGCTTGTAGACGGGATGCACGTCGAGCGCCTGGCGATGGGCGCGCACGGTCATCTCGTCCGCTGCCGTCAGGGTTGCAAGGCGCTGGTCGGAAAAGCCCATCGCCTTGAGCATGCGCATGTTGGCCGCATCGTCCGGAAGGCCATGGGCCCGCACGCGCGCCTCGGTGCCGACGATCGCCTCGAGCTGACGCAGGAACCACATGTCGATCTTGCAGGCCGCGTGAATCTCTTCGAGCGAGAAGCCAAGGCGCATCGCCTGCGCCACCATGCGCAACCTGTCCGGCGTCGGCGTGCCCAGCGCGGCGCGGATCGCATTCTTGTCGTCGCCCTCGCCAATGCCCGGAATCTCGATCTCGTCGAGCCCTGTCAGCCCTGTTTCAAGGCCGCGTAGCGCTTTTTGCAGCGATTCGGTGAATGTGCGCCCGATCGCCATCACTTCTCCCACCGATTTCATGGCGGTCGTCAGAAGCGGTTCGGCGCCGGGAAACTTCTCGAAGGCAAAGCGCGGGATCTTGGTGACCACATAATCGATCGACGGTTCGAACGAGGCCGGCGTCGCGCCGCCCGTAATGTCGTTTTCCAGTTCGTCCAGCGTGTAGCCGACGGCCAGTTTCGCGGCGACCTTGGCGATCGGAAAGCCGGTGGCTTTGGACGCCAGCGCCGAGGAGCGCGACACGCGCGGGTTCATCTCGATGACGACCAGGCGCCCAGTGTCCGGATTGACGGCGAACTGGACGTTCGAGCCGCCGGTCTCGACCCCGATCTCGCGCAACACCGCGATCGAGGCGTTGCGCATGATCTGGTATTCCTTGTCGGTCAGCGTCAGCGCCGGCGCGACCGTGATCGAGTCGCCCGTGTGCACGCCCATCGGATCGACATTTTCGATGGAACAGACGATGATGCAGTTGTCGTCCCGGTCGCGGACGACCTCCATCTCATATTCCTTCCAGCCAAGCACGCTCTCATCGATCAGCACCTCGGTGGTCGGCGATGCATCGAGACCGCGTTCGACGATCTCGAAAAACTCGGACCGGTTGTAGGCGATGCCGCCGCCGGTTCCGCCCAGCGTGAAGGATGGGCGTATGATCGCCGGCAGGCCGACCTCGTCCAGCGCCTGGGCGGCGAGGCCCATGGCGTGTGTCATGTATCGCTGTTTGCGGTCCGAGGTGCCGTCGCGCCATTCAAGTTCCAGCGCGTCGAGCGCCGCATCCAGTTCCTTGCCGGACAGCGTATCACGAAGCTTCTGCCGGCGCGCCTCGTGCGCCTTGCGGTCTTCTTCCTTGATCGCCGAGGCGTTGACCAGCACCGAGCGTGGGCTTTCAAGGCCGATCCGGTCCATCGCTTCGCGGAACAGCTTGCGGTCCTCGGCCTTGTCGATGGCTTCGGGCTTGGCGCCGATCATCTCGACATCGTGCTTGTCCAGAACGCCCATGGCCTTCAGCGAAAGCGCGGTGTTGAGAGCGGTCTGCCCGCCCATGGTCGGCAGCAGCACCATTGTCTCGTCGGGGCGTTCGGTGCGCTCCTTTTCGATGATCTTGGCGACGACCTCGGGCGTGATCGGCTCGATATAGGTCGCGTCCGCCAGATCCGGGTCGGTCATGATCGTTGCCGGGTTCGAGTTGACCAGGACGATCCGGTAGCCCTCCTGCTTGAGCGCCTTGCAGGCCTGGGTTCCCGAATAGTCGAACTCGCACGCCTGGCCGATGATGATCGGCCCCGCGCCGATGATCAGTACGGTGTCGATATCGGTGCGTTTGGGCATGGGGTCTTCGGTCTCTTTTTGCACGCAAACGCCGGTCGGAAAGGCCGGCCGGCGCGCAGTTGGGCTGTTCGTTTGTGGCTGAACCGGGGCTATAGGGGATTACGCGCGGTGGCGAAAGGGCTATTGGCGCGAATTCAGACGTTCGATCGCGCTCGCGGGAAGCGACTGCGCTGCGATCAGATCGTTCCAGTCGGTGACAATCAGCCGCGCCAGGCCCGGATCGCGCTTTTCGGCTCGCGTCAGGGCGCGCCGGGCCATCGCCGTGTAGTTGGCCTGACCGTTGCGATAACCGCCGGCGCCGCCCAGCTGAACCGCCCAGTAGCCGATGAACGAGGACACCTGGCCCCTTGCGGTCGGCAGATCGGTCTCCGTGTCTCGGCCGAGCACCTGGATTGCCTCGCGGAAGATGCGATCGGCGGCGGCACGGTCCAAAAGACCCGTGGCGTAGATCAGATCGTGGACGATGGCGGCCTGGGCATACTGGCCCCAATTGCCGATCACGCCCCAGAACAGCCGCGGCACGCTGGCGCCGTCCGAGCAGAACCCGGCCGGCACGATGATGTGTTCGGGATCGTGGGGACCGGTCAGGCCGAAGGCAAAGCTGCGGATGACCACGCGTATGGGGCGCATCCGCTCCAGCCGGCCGACATCGGCCGTGTAGAGCGGCGCCGTGAAGCGCAAGGGCGAAGCGCCTGTCGGAATGGCGGCGGACATGGCGTTTGACCGGGTTTGATCCGAATTCAACTTGCTCGCGCAGAACAATTGCGCAACAAGACCGTACAGTCAAAGGGAGAAGACGATGCGTTGGCGAGGGCGCCGCCAAAGCAGCAACATCGACGACCGCCGCGGGCGCGGCAGGCGACGATCGCCTGCGGGCGGAGGCGGAATTCGCATCCCCGTTTCGGGCCGCCGCGGCGGGTTGGGCGGTCTCGTCCTCATCGTCGTCATCGTTGTCGTCGCCGGTGCGCTGGGCATCGATCCGGTGCGTCTTCTCGGCGGCGGGCCGGCCACCGTCAGCGCGCCGCCGGCGCAATCACCGGCCCGCGATGACGCCACAACGCAGTTCGTCGCAACGGTGCTCGCCGAGACCGAAGATGTATGGAACGCGATCTTTGCCGAGGCGGGCGGCGATTATCCGGAACCGACGCTGGTCCTGTTCGAGGGACAGGTGCGTTCGGCATGCGGTTTTGCCGGCGCGGCATCAGGCCCGTTCTACTGTCCGGCGGACTCCCGGCTCTACATCGACCTGCAATTCTTCGACGAACTGGCGCGGCGGTTCAATGCCTCCGGCGATTTCGCGCAGGCCTATGTGATCGCCCATGAGGTGGGACATCACGTGCAGAACGTCATCGGTGTTCTGCCGGAGTTCAACCGAATGCGCCGGCAAATGAGCCGTACGGAGGCCAACGCCATGTCCGTGCGCGTCGAGTTGCAGGCCGATTGCTTCGCCGGTGTCTGGGGCTACCACACCGCTCAGCGCGGACTTCTGGAGCGCGGCGATCTTCGGGAGGCGCTGAACGCGGCCACCCAGATCGGCGACGACACGATCCAGCGGCGCACGCAGGGCTTCATCGTTCCCGAAAGCTTCTCTCACGGCACCGCCGAACAGCGCCGGACCTGGTTTGCGCGCGGCTTCGAGACGGGCCGGCTCGACGCGTGCGATACGTTCAACGCACGGGTCTGAACGGAGGGCGATCAGGCGCCCGCCATGGCCGTGAGCATCTGACGCGAGTCTTCGTTCGCCGGAAAGAACAGCTCCAGCTTCCAGTCGGCCAGCGCGATGTCCTCGGCGGACCCGAACTGGCTGATGGCCGAAAACAGCGACAGCGTGCCGTCGCCCAGCCGGAAACGGATCGGCACGAACGGCGGCATGGTGCCATCGACGGGCATGTCCCGTCCGGCAATGATTGTCTCCAGCCGGTCGGCAGCCTCCGACAGCACCGCGTCACCTCCGAAATGCAACGCCTCGGTGCGCAGGCGAAGCACCATGTGCCGCGCCACGTCCTGCCAGTTCTCGATCAGTGCCTCCAGGCGCGCCGGATCGCCGAACAGCGACAGCATGTCGGCGCCGGCATCAATGCCCGCGGCGGAGAGCATCATTGCGGCGGGCGCATTGGCGCGGACGATGTTCCAGTGTCGGTCGAGCACGATCGCGGGGAAGGGCGCGTGGCGCTCGAGCATCCATGTCACGGCCTGCTCGACGGGCTGCATCGCCTCTTCGTCCAGCGTTCGCGCCCGATAGGCCGGTGCGAACCCGGCTGCGTTCAAGAGCGCGTTGCGGTCCGTGTGCGGCACGTGCAGGAACTCGGCCAGGTGGATGACCATCGACCGGCTCGGTCGCGCCCGCCCGGTCTCCAGAAAGCAGATGTGGCGTGCTGAAACGTCTGATGCGAGCGCCAGGTCAAGCTGGCTGAGCCGGCGTGTGTTGCGCCACACGCGCAGCATCGATCCGAATTGCCGCTCACCGGTCTGATCGCCCGCCATCTGTCCCATGATATGCCCCGCCATCGCCGCAACCGTGTCCAGCCTAGCCAGATGCGGGCCGCTGGTCACTTACCCGGCAGGTAATTGCGGAACGGCTGACCACGCTCCTATTGCTGGCCCATCGCAGCAAAGGAGGCGTACATGACTGTTCATACGGGTATCCTGAAGGCCGGAGCCGTCATTCTCATGGCGTTCGGCGTCCTTTTCACCATGGCCGCCTGGCCGCCACTGGCCGGTCTGATCCGATTTCTGGTCGATTTGTTCGCCTGGCCGCTCGACGGCGCCCAGACGCTTGCCGCCAGCGAAACCCGGCTCGCACTGGCCATCGGCGGCGGAGTGATGGCCGGCTGGGGCATGACGATCTGGCTGGTTGCCACGCGGCTGGCCGAGCGGGAACCCGGTCTGGTGCGGACGCTTGTCCTGCTCCCGGTGGTCGTCTGGTTCGTGCTCGACTCGCTTGGCTCGATTGCCGCTGGCGTGCCGGTCAACGCGGTGTTCAACGTCACGTTCCTGGTGCTGTTCATGGCGGCGTTTCGCATCCGCGGCGCTCAACGTCAGCCGGCCAACTGATCAAGGCCCGCAAAGCGCTGGCGTCCCGTGGGGTTCAATCCTTCGGGCCGCCGCTTCGCACCAGTTCGACAGGTGTGCGCATGATGATTTCGCGGTGCGGGAACGGGATTGCGATGCCGGCTTCCTTGAACGCATCCCACAATGCGATCAGGACCGCGCCGCGAATGTTGGTCAGCCCGCCCTGCGGATCGGTGATCCAGAACCGCAGCTTGAAGTCGAGCGATGAAGCGCCGAAAGCGGTCATCCAGCAGACCGGCTTTTTCTCCTCGACGACCCGGTCGACCGCGCTTGCCGCATCGACAGCGATCCGGATGACCTCATGCGGATCGCTGTCGTAGGAGACGCCGAAATCGACATCGAGCCGGATGAAATTGTCCGAGTACGACCAGTTGACGACCTGCTGCGTGATGAAATCCTCGTTCGGGATCAGATATTCCCGTCCGTCACGGGTGATCACCGAAACGAAACGTCCGCGCAATTCCCTGATCCAGCCGAACGTGTCGCCGAGCTCGATCGTGTCGCCCGGCTTGATCGACTTGTCGACCAGGATGATGACGCCCGAAATGAAGTTGGACACAACCTTCTGCAGGCCGAATCCGATGCCGACGCCGACGGCGCCTGAAAAGATCGTCAGCGCCGTCAGGTCGATGCCGACGGCGTTGAGCGCGATGACGCCGGCAAGCACCGTCAGCGCGATATGCACCGTTTTGCCGGCCAGGACCTTGAAGGAGGGCGACAGATCGGCGGACGCCGAAATCCGGTTCTCGAAGAAGCGTCCCGCCAGATGCGCGGCCCACAACAGGACCGCCGTGACAGCGATCGTGCGGATGACGAGCAGAGCTGAAAGCCGGAAGTCTCCCAGATTGATCGCCAGATTGTCGAGCGCCTCGGTGACCGGACCGCGCATGCCCAGCACGCCGGTGGCGACATAGAGGAAGACGCACAACGCCACGAAACGGGCCAGCACCCGGTTGCGGATGATCCGCGTCAGAACCGACGCCGCCAGCCAGGTGAAGCCGAGCACCAGCGCCAGCGAGAGGATGTAGCCGCGGCTCGGCCACGTGGTCGCCAGCAGGATTTCCCGCGCGACCGCGACGAAAACAAGGAACAGCACCCACTCGGTCCTGCGCATGAAGGCGGAAATGACGCGCAGCAGGCGCGGGTTGCCCTTGATTTTCCGGGCACGTTCTTCGAGCACCGGCTCGATCCGCAGCGAGAGCAGATAGGCCAGGGCGAAGCAGCCGGCGACGATCAGCAACTGGTATACTGTCCATGGCTGCGCGACATAGCGCGACAGCCAGATCACGGTCTCACCGGCCTCTGTGGCCAGGGCGTTGATATCGAACGATCCCATCACCCCAGATTAGCGCAAAGCGGAGCGGAGGAAAGCCGCGGTTGCGCCGGTTCGTTGAGCGGGCGTTTGCGGCGGCGTTGGTCGCAGGTGGTCCGGCCTCAGCGTTCGGCGAGCGCCGGCTTGCCCTGTCGTTCTCGAACCAGATTGGCAAAGCGCTGGAAAAGATAGTGGCTGTCCTGCGGACCCGGCGAGGCCTCGGGATGATGCTGCACCGAAAAGACCGGCTTGCCATCGACCGAGAGGCCACAGTTGGAGCCGTCAAACAGCGACACATGGGTCTCGGTGACGCCGTCGGGCAGCGACGCGCCGTCCACGGCAAAACCATGGTTCATCGAGACGATCTCCACCTTGCCGGTGGTATGGTCCTTGACCGGATGGTTCGCGCCGTGATGGCCCTGGTGCATCTTGACGGTCTTGGCGCCCAGCGCCAGCGCCAGCATCTGATGCCCCAGGCAGATACCGAAAAGCGGAATGCCGCTTTCGGCCAGTTCCCGGATCACCGGAACCGCATAGGCGCCGGTAGCTGCCGGATCGCCCGGACCGTTGGACAGGAATATGCCGTCGGGCGCGTGTGCCAGCACCTCTTCGGCCGTTGCGGTTGCCGGCAGTACCGTCACCTTTGCCCCGAGCCCGGCCATGAGCCGCAATATGTTGCGCTTGACGCCATAATCGATGGCGACGATGTGCATGTCGGTTTCGCCGGCCTCGCCATGGCCTTCGTCCCAGACCCAGGGCGTTTCGGACCAGCTCGATGTCTGGCCCGATGTGACCTCCTTGGCAAGGTCCAGGCCGACCAGGCCGCCCCAGCCGGCCGCGCGCGCCTTCAGCGCGTCCAGATCGAAGTCGCCGGAAGGCGAATGGGCGATCACCGCGTTGGGCACGCCATGCTCGCGAATGTGCGCGGTGAGCGCGCGCGTGTCGATGCCGGCGAGAGCGATGATGCCGCGCGCCTTCAGCCAGGCGTCCAGATGCTCGGCCGCCCGATAGTTCGAGGGATCGGTGATCGGCGCCTTGAAGACCGCACCCACGGCACCGGCCCGCCGCGCCGGCGTCAGGTCCTCGATGTCCTCGCCGTTCGCGCCGATATTGCCGATGTGCGGAAACGTGAACGTGACGATCTGGCCGGCATAGGACGGATCGGTCAATATTTCCTGATAGCCGGTCAGCGCGGTGTTGAAGCACAGTTCCGCCTCGGTTTCGCCCGTGGCGCCGAAACCCTGTCCCTCGAGCACTGTCCCGTCGGCCAGGACCAGGACGGCGGTGGCGCGCGGCTTCGACCAGGGCGCGGGCGTGCTTTGCGCTTCGGCAATGGTTGACATGATCGTGACACTCTTGTTTGGGGGCGCGGGCGGCGACCGCTTGTCGCCGGCGGAGGCAAACACCATATTGGTTCCGAACGCAACCGCCGGCGCTTCGACACCAAGGGTGACCTTTGGGCACCTGGCATTGGAATGTCAGCTGCCGGTGGAGCAGGAAGGCAGTTGCCTAAAATGTGGACTGTCGGGAAAACCGTTTTTAATCAAAGCTTTGAAGTTGATGTTGCGGACTTGCATGGGGCATGCCGCGCGGCTATCCTTCACGAAGCTTTACCAGGAGTTCGACATGCGTGAAGCCATTCATGCGGCGCTGAAAGAAGCTCAGAATTCACAGGACAAATGCCGGATATCGGTGCTTCGTCTGGTTTTGGCGGCGGTCAAGGATCGCGACATCGCCAATCGGAATGCGGGCAAGGATCCGGTCTCAGACAAGGAGATTGTCGGCATCCTTTCGAAGATGATCAGCCAGCGCAAGGCGTCGGCGGCCGACTACGAGCAGGGCGGACGTCTCGAACTGGCCGATCAGGAGCGCTACGAATCGAAGGTCATCGCCGAGTTCCTGCCGGCACAGATGTGCGAGGACGAAGTCAAGCAGGCCTGTGCCGCCGTCGTCGAGGATACCGGCGCCGCCGGCCTGCGCGACATGGGCAAGTGCATGAACACGCTCAAGCAGAAGTTTCCCGGTCAGATGGATTTCTCCAAGGCCTCCGGCATCGTCCGCGGCATGCTGCGCTGAGACCCGAACGGGTTATCCACACACCGCCCGCATCTTTCCACACGGCCTGATCCGCGATGACGGATGGCGCGGTGCGTGCTAACGCTGGTCCCGTCTTGGTGCGTTGACCGAAAGCCGGCAGAACGATGCGATTCTCGCAATCCTTTCTCGATGAAGTCCGCGACCGATTGCCGATCTCCGAGGTGGTCGGCACGCGCGTGACATGGGACAAGCGCAAGACCAATACCTCGCGCGGCGACTGGTGGGCGTGCTGCCCGTTCCATGGCGAAAAGACGCCGAGCTTCCATTGCGAAGACAAGAAGGGCCGCTATCACTGCTTCGGGTGCGGCGTTTCGGGCGACCATTTCCGCTTTCTGACCGAACTGGACGGGATGAGCTTTCCCGAAGCGGTCGAGCGGGTCGCCTCGATGGCCGGCATCGCCCTGCCGGCGCCCGATCCGGAGGCCGAAAAGCGCGAGCGCCAGCGCGCGACGCTTTATGATGTGGCCGAGGCCGCCGCCAAATTCTTCGAGACACAGCTTCAGTTGCAGCCCGGCGCGGCAGCGCGCGCCTATTTGCGCGACCGGGGCCTGACACCGCAGACGATCGGCAAGTTCCGCCTCGGCTATGCGCCGGGCAGCCGCAACGCGCTCAAGGAGCATCTGGCGCAGGGCGGCGCCACCAAGGAGCAGATCGAAGCTTGTGGTCTTGTCGTTCATGGCGACGACATCGCCGTCTCCTACGACCGGTTCCGCGACCGCATCATCTTCCCGATCGAGGACGCGCAGGGCCGCGTGATCGCCTTTGGCGGTCGCGCCATGTCGGCGGACGTCCCGGCGAAATATCTCAACTCGCCCGAGGGGCCGCTCTTTCACAAGTCCGACGTGCTCTACAATTTCCGCCGTGCCCGGCAGACGACCGCAAGGGGCGGCACGCTGGTTGCGGTCGAGGGCTATATGGACGTGATCGCCCTCGATCAGGCCGGCTTTTCCAACGCGGTCGCGCCGCTTGGCACGGCGCTGACCGAGAGCCAGCTTGCCAAGATCTGGCGCGTCGCCAACGAGCCTGTCCTGTGCTTTGACGGCGATCAGGCGGGCCTGCGCGCCGCATACCGGTCGCTCGATCTGGCGCTGCCGGAACTCAAGCCCGGCAAATCGGTGCGCTTTGCGCTGCTGCCCGACGGCAAGGACCCCGACGATCTGATCAAGGCCGATGGCGCCGCCGCCTTCGACGCCGTTCTGGCGCAGGCCAGAAGCGCGGCCGACCTGCTCTGGCTGCGCGAGACCGGAGGCAAGTCGTTCGATACGCCTGAACGGCGTGCGCAGTTGGAATCGGCGCTGCGCGAGGCTGCCGGCCGCATCGGCGATGAAAGCGTGCGCCGACATTACTCCCAGGACATGCGCGAGCGCGCGAACGCGTTCTTCGGCGTGCCGTCTGCAAGGGGCAATGACGGCGCGTTCGGCGGCAAGGGCCGGACGTCCGGCAAGCTGCCGCGTGGACGGATCGCCGTTTCAGAACGGTTGTCACGCTCGCGCATTGTTGCGCCAAGAACGCTGAAAGGCGTGGTGCCGCTGCGCGAAGCGGCGCTCTTGAGCGCGGTGATGTGCCATCCCGACCTGATCGGCGAGCATTTTGATGCCTTCACGGCGCTGGAACTGGAGAGCGCTGAACTGGCCGCCCTGCGTGGCGCCATCCTCGAAGCCCATGCCGAGACCGGTGCACGCGACCGCGAGACGTTGCTGGCGCACGCCGCCTGCACCTCGCACGCCGGCGCCATTGAAGCCGTCGACAATGCCATAAGGCGCGCCCGCCTGTGGGTGTTTACCGGCGAGGCCGCCTTCGACGACGCGCGCCATGCCTTCGATCAGGCGCTGCGCCTGCATGCCCGTGCACGCGGCCTTTCCCGTGAACTGCGCGCCGCCGAGGCCGCGCTCGCCGAGGACCCGACCGAGACCAATTACAACCGTCTTGTCTCGGTCCAGGGGCAGGTACGCCGCGAGCATGGGCTCGATGCGCTGATCGAGGGGTTCGGCCTGTCGTCCGGCCGCCCGGTCAAGAGTTTCTGACCGCCGAAACGACGATTTTTTCCCGGCCCGCAGGTTGACGGACGAAAAAAACCCGGGAATCACATCTTTTGGCGCCGATTGGGCATGCACGCGGGATTGGAATCGCGCCGACGATGACTATCTCATCGGTCTGACATGGAATTCAGCGGGTTTCGGGGACGGCTGAACGTTTACGGTTAATCGACGATTAAGCACGATCATCTAGCTGGTGAGACCGCATGGGTACCCCGCGACCCCGGTGAAGTGCGACGGCGATTGACACGGCGATGGCGCCGGCGGGCCGCCATCTTGGAGCAGTGACATCAATGGCGACAAAAGAAAAAGAAAACACCGAAGCTGAAGCGCCGGCCGAAGGCGGACCCGATGGACCGCTGCTGGACCTCAGCGCGGACAGCGTCAAGAAGCTGATCCGAACCGCCAAGAAGCGCGGCTATGTGACGATGGACGAGTTGAACGCCGTGCTGCCGTCGCAGGAGGTCACCTCCGAGCAGATCGAGGACACGATGGCTATGCTGTCCGACATGGGCATCAATGTCGTCGAGGATGACGAGGCCGAGCAGAACGACGACGACGAGGCCTCCACATCGACCGAAGTGGCCACGTCATCGGGCACGGCGGTTTCGACCACGACCAAGAAGAAGGAACCCACCGACCGGACCGACGATCCGGTCCGCATGTATCTGCGCGAGATGGGTGCCGTCGAACTTCTGTCGCGCGAAGGCGAGATCGCCATCGCCAAACGCATCGAGGCCGGCCGCGAGACGATGATCGCCGGCCTGTGCGAAAGCCCGCTCACCTTCCAGGCGATCATTATCTGGCGCGACGAGCTGCTGGAGGAGAATATCCTCCTGCGCGACATTATCGATCTGGAAGCGACCTATGCGGGCCCGGAGGCCAAGCAGGCGCCGAAGGTTCCCACGCCCGAGGAGATCGAGCAGGCCCGGAAAGAGCGCGAGGAAAAGGAACGCGCCCTGCGCCAGCCGCGCCGCCATGACGACATCACCGATGTCGGCGGCGAGGGCCAGGAAGAAGAGGACGACGAAGAGGACGAGGTCAACCTGTCGCTGGCGGCCATGGAGGCCGAACTGCGCGAGGACGTCATGGCCTCGTTCGACAAGATCGCCTCGATCTATGCGAAACTCCGCAAGTTGCAGGACCAGCAGGTCGAGAACGCGCTCGCCGACGGCGAGACGCTGACCACGTCGCAGAAACGCCGCTACAAGCAGCTCCAGGACGAACTGATCGAGCAGGTCAAGCTGCTGTCGCTCAACAATCAGCGTATCGACGCGCTGGTCGAACAGCTTTATGCGATCAACAAGCGGCTGATGCAGAACGAGGGCAAGCTGCTGCGGCTGGCCGAAAGCTATGGCGTCGGCCGCGAGGAGTTCCTCAAGCAGTATCAGGGCACCGAGCTCGACCCCAACTGGCTGTCCAATGTCGCGTCCCTTGGCTCGCCCGCCTGGTCCGAATTCGCGGGCAAGGACCGCCGCAAGATCGAGGAACTGCGCGCCGAGATCCAGGAACTGGCGACCGAGACCGGCATTTCGATCCCCGAATTCCGCCGCATCGTCAATCAGGTCCAGAAGGGCGAGCGCGAGGCCCGCATCGCCAAGAAGGAGATGGTCGAGGCGAACCTCCGGCTCGTCATCTCGATCGCCAAGAAATACACCAACCGCGGGCTGCAATTCCTCGACCTGATCCAGGAAGGCAATATCGGCCTGATGAAGGCGGTCGACAAGTTCGAGTACCGCCGCGGCTACAAGTTCTCGACCTATGCGACCTGGTGGATCCGGCAGGCGATCACCCGCTCGATCGCCGACCAGGCGCGCACCATCCGCATCCCCGTGCACATGATCGAGACGATCAACAAGATCGTGCGCACCAGCCGCCAGATGCTGCATGAGATCGGCCGCGAGCCGACCCCCGAGGAATTGTCCGAAAAGCTCGCCATGCCGCTCGAAAAGGTGCGCAAGGTCCTCAAGATCGCCAAGGAGCCGATCAGCCTCGAAACGCCGGTCGGCGACGAGGAGGATTCGCATCTGGGCGATTTCATCGAGGACAAGGGCGCCGTGCTGCCGATCGACGCGGCGATCCAGGCCAATCTGCGCGAGACGACGACCCGCGTTCTCGCCTCGCTGACCCCGCGCGAGGAACGCGTTCTTCGCATGCGCTTCGGCATCGGCATGAACACCGACCACACGCTGGAGGAAGTCGGCCAGCAATTCTCGGTCACGCGCGAACGCATCCGCCAGATCGAGGCCAAGGCGCTTCGAAAGCTCAAGCACCCC